GCCATGAATCTATTATTTAGACATCAGTTAGCTAGAGATTTTCATTGTGCAATAGTGTTCTTATCTAACAGTTGTTATTTGTAGGACCTAAATATCAGGAAGATTATTATAAAGGGACATGAGAGAGATGGACAGTACTCTCTAGGTGATCCCCCTCTAATTCCTCCGCCGCCTACACCTGTTTTATCGTTATCTATTCCTACCTTACATGCTAGTATTTTACCTAGTACTTGTCGTTATTATTTTTTATCACAAATTGTTCAATTTTGACATAACCGTTTTGAGCATACAAATTTTAAATATTTTTGTATGCTATTTCCAGCTTTGAGTAATGTTTGTGCTAGTGGTAGACTTGACTATGTTATATCTTCACTACCTAAATATGTTCAGACCAATTATATTATTCGCATGCATCAGCCTACTAAGCCATTTGACCTAATACACTCTGATATTTGCGAACTCTCACCTATTATTGCTCTGTCTAGTGCCCGATATTATGTGACCTTTATAAATGATCATACCCCCTATTCTTGGGTATACTTTTTACATAGGAAGTCAAATGTATTCCCTGTTATTACTCAGTTTCTACAGATAATTAAAACATAATTCTATATCATTGTTCAAGCTCTTTCGCTTGGATAATGCCAAAGAATATGTCTGATGCTTTAGTGTCTCACCTGGACTTTATATGGCTAAGCCACCTGGGCTTTATATCCGATCTCTAGTTATGTTTCTTATGATGAGCTATCTACTACATTTCAGGCTTATATTATGGCATTATCAGATACATCGGTTCTGAACTCCGTTTCAGAGGTTATGCAATATCCTTAGTGGGCTCTTGCTATGTAGACAGAGATGGACGCTCTTTAGCGTAACTATACATGGGATCTTGGTTTTTTACCTTTAAAGGTGAAGTCTATTGACTGTCGTTGGGTTTACACTTTGATGCTTCTTACGGATGGTACTATTAATCGCTACAAGACTAAGCTTATGGCGAAGGACTTAACTCAGGCTTTAGGTCGCGATTTTAGAACTATCTTTATCCCGGTGGCAAAGTTGACTATGGTTCGTTTGATTATCTTTCTGACTGCCTCATATTCTTAGCCCCCTTCATCAGTTGGATGTAAAAAATGCGTTTCTTCAGGGCGACGTAGACCAAATTATTTATATGGATGTGTCACCTAGCTTTCGTGGTAAGGGTGAGTATGCTAGGAAGTGTGTCGATTGGTAAGTCTCTTTATGGACTGAAACAATCACTACAAGCCTAGTTCTCTCGATTTAGTGGTGTAGTTATATGTTTCGACTTCTCTAGATGTCATTCTAATTATACGTACTTCATTTGACAGAATACTATTGGGTAGTGTGTCATTCTCTTGGTATATGTGGATGATATTATTATTACTAAAATGATATTTTTGGAATTGCCCAGGTCAAGGTTGATCTTAAGAAGGCCTTCAATGTGAAGGACCTTAGATTTTTGCAGTACTTTCTTGGGATTGAGGTTGCTTGTAGCAGCAAGTGTATTGTCTTCTTTTAGAGGAAGTACGTTCTGGATCTTCTCTCGAACACTGAAACACTAATGTGCAAATCAACATCCTCACCTATGATTCCAAACTTAACGCTTACTGCTAAAGGTGAGAAGTTGAGAGGTCTGACTATTTATCAAAGGTTGGTAGGTACGCTTATCTACCTAGCCAACACTAGGCCTGACATTTCATTTGCTGTCAACCGGGTTAGTCAGTTCATACATAAGTCGTGTCAATCTCATCTGGATGCGATATATTCTTTGGTTCCTCAAGCCTTGTCCTAGACTTAAGTTATTATATGCATCGAGGTCACAGACTGATTCTAGCCAGTTATTCAGATTTAGATTATGGGAGACCTTGTGACAATCGATCTACTACGAACTTCTATGATTTTCGAGGGACTCATCTTATCTCTTAGAAGAGCAAGAAGTAGTTAGTTGTCTCTCATTCATCAGCAGAGGCAAAGTATCGGGCACCGGCACTTTACACATGAGAGATTATCTGGTTACAGTCTATTTTTGGCAAGTTAGAATTTTCAGTGACTTCTACATCTACATTATATTGTGATAATTGATCTGCTCTTCAGTTCACTTATGACTGAGAAGAAGGTCGGCTACGACATTGTTACCCTATCGTATGTGAGGACTAATGATCAGGTTGCGAATGTCTTCACTAAACCAGTCATACTATCCACTCTTCGGGACTCCATTGTCAAACTTCGCTTGATTGAAGAGGAGTGTTGGAGTTATAAATTATTAGGATGTTTAGCTATTTTATCTATTTTGCGCTTACTATGGTTTTTATGTCTTACTCGGGCCAAAGAGATGTTCTGGTTATTGCACTCTTATTTGACTATATGTACAAGGCTCTACACTCAGTTTGTGTATCATTTTCACTCCCAACAATTCTACTGAGGTAGTTGATTTAGCTGTGAGTGTTCAGTGGAATCAAATTTGGATTGAGTGTGATTCTCAAGTTCTTGCCCATGGCATTTCCATTAACTGTCTATCTATTCCATGGAGAATTAAAACCTCTATGGAGGGTTTTTTGCTATCAAATGAAATCCATGCAGGTTCAAGTTTTGCATGCCTATGGGGAAGGAAATCGGGTTGCTGATTGTATTGTGAATTTTGTTATCCTAGCTACGACATTTATGGTGGTCATCACCTCCTGACTTCATTACTCAACATGTTAACCGAACATTGCTGGTTACCCTGATTTTCGATTTAAGCATTGATATTATTGTTTTTTCCTTGGATTTAATACATGCATTGCATTGTTTAACTCTTGTTTGTTCATTAATAAAGTCCCTTGTATGTGAGGTGTTGCTAAAAAAATATTGGAAGTTCGATATATGCATTGATATTGTGGTATGTTTGTCCACCTTTTTATGATTTTTCTATGTTGGCATGTCTACATCAAACAAATTATCCTTTTTTCTTTATGCATTTTTTCTTCTTTTTTTTCCCCGCTATACAATTGTCCTCCTCAGTGTAGATACCTGTTTTCCACTGGAGCTGTCGTTTTTCCATCTACTTTTCAAATAATCTCTGCACTAAGCTTTACTTATTTGTGATATTTAATCCACGTCAGAAATCTTGCTTCCTATCTGCAGCTTTTTAGACACTGTAGTTCATGAATAAGCCCTGAAGTCAACAAGGAGATTCCACCTATCAAGTTCAGGCAAACCAGAATAGTACATGGAAAGTCAAAAATAGCACCTTTGCTGATTCAGCTGGAACAGTTCCATCGCCATCCACGTAAGAGTACTGGGGCTGGAATAAGAAAAAACAGATGAACATATAAGTAATTTTTTATTTTTTTGGGGGGGGGAGGGGAGGATAAACAATACACTATTTCCCAAGCTTTCATGATCCATATAGCTCAAATTTGGTCAATGAGCCTGCACGAAAATTGAGTACAAAAGGGGGCTGTTTATAAATGTAAGAATGGGGTTTTAAGCTTGATATTTAATCATGAATTAATAAACACAGGGATATGATGTGTTAAACCATCAACTCATCCACAATCTTAAGTTGCCAGATAGGGTGCAACAGAAATGTTATATGCACACTCCCCCTCTCATACGGACTAGATTTTGGGTCAAGTACATGCAAGTCTTCCAATTATTGAGGTGGAGGTGAGATTAAATCATAGGACCTCATGCTCTAATATCATGTCAAACCACCAAGTCATCTAAAAGTTTAAGTTGATAGATAGGGTGTAACATAATGCTATGTACTTCAACAACTAGGAACATGGTAAAATATGGCTATATCACCAACCTTTCCTGACAATCATGTCAGGGTTCACACATAAGTGGACATGTGATATAGAATTCTGGATCCAGATTATGCCTTCATAAGTAACTAATCTAGCTTTTCAAAAAATAAAACGAGATATCAAATTAATTACTTACCACTGTATGGCACACTTCAGACAAATCCTCAATTGGAGAAGTTTCAGAACCATAGCTGCAAAATATGTGCGTCAAACGAGCTTACCACTAAAAACACTTGCAACACTTTGGTCAGAAATCTATGCACCTACCCATCCTCATGAAATAAGCATAATTGCATAAAACCAAGATAACAAAATAGTCATCTCAAACGTGTATGGTGCGGACTAATTATATGTATATTTTGTATATTAACATTAATATGCACCTCTATTTATGTAATTCCACACAAGGGTTGCCAGTGTCACAAACATGCAAGGACTGATCATTACAGAAAAGCTGTTTTACTTCATTTGAAGTTCCATAATCAGATTTTGGGACATTGGAGCAAGATCGATAACTGGTGCTTAAACCGGTATCTCAAAAAGTAGGCTGTGAAAAGGAACTGCCTTCTCCCAGAGAAAGCATCATAATGTCAATACGAGATAGGGATTCAATGAACGACAGCTACATACCTTGACTCAACATACAATTACACACAGAAAATAAATCAAAATCAAGAAAATAAGGGTGACAGAAATCTCAAATGAATGGGATTTCGTCTGAATGATATGATGGCTCAATTTATCAAGTTCTATAGCGCATCCATTCTTCAAAAACGATACATTTGAAATTTTCAGAGTTTAAGATATTTATCAATGTTTTTGTGAAGATTTGTTCGATACTATCAGGTGACTGACATGACGGACACCTATGCCAGTAGACTCCAAAACAATGACATGACAATCTATAGATTTAGAACTGTAGCTAATTTTACCTTTTACGTCTGAGGAACAAAGTCTTTTTTCATGGCATCGTAAGACCTCATCGATGATGCAGGACAGCAGCAGGACCAAGGACCACACAGCCAAAGGGAAATCACGGGTTTTGCTTGGTAGTTAGAGGAGAGGAGTTAGGCAAGAGCAGACATTACAAAAAAGAATTAGGGTTTCTTTCTTCAGTACTTTTGGAGGAAGGGTTTGTCAGAGAAGGTTAGAAAGGTTCTGGCGAGATATTGCATAATGGCGGGTTTGTACTCTATGCCTCCATGAGAGGTCATATCGCAGCAGACTTCACACAATTGATCCAACTATGCCATAAGGGTGGGCGTAGGCAGTCATTGCATACAGAAGATTTGCAGCACAGAAAGAAAAAGCTCGGGGAAAGAAAAGGTTTAACGGAACTGTAGCTCAAAAAGCATGGCCAACCAGCAACATGGAGGTAAAGTGGGCTGGAGAAACCTTTCTGATGGACAGGAGCTTGTGTGTTGACAAGTAAGGTACAGGCCCAGTTCAGTGATGGGCTTACACCCATTGAGCAGTCCATATATGTCACAGAAAAGGAGCTTGGCAGAGAGCCATTCATGTTCTAATTCCCATTGGTGGGGGAAGCAAAAAGGGTGTTGAGAGAGGGGTAGAGAATGATGGAAGGAATACAGATTCTGCTAGATTGGTGAAGCTAGGTAGCAGGAGTGTCAAGGTTGGAGAAGGTGGTGTGGGGAGAGTAGTAACCTTCTTTTTATGTTATGTGATCACAGGTGCTCAAAGCCATTGGGGATATAGGTGGGGGGTTTGTGGGTATAGACACAAAGATATGGTCCAAAGTCCCGATATCAACTGTCAACTCGGAAGGTACTGATGAACATCGGTCAAAGTGTGGTGTCACGGCACAGTACAAGCCAATATGCTTAAAATGCTAGATAAAAGACTCAAGAAATATTTAAAAAAATCACAAAAAAGGGGTAAGGAACAATATCCTTGTATCATATGTTGAAAATACATCACCTAAAATTTTTTTTTTTTGGGAGGGAGAGGAGGAAAAGAGAAGGGGACTTGAACCCTTGACCTCAAGAAGACAAATCTTTCACAAAGTAAGGAGTACCATTGGACCAAAGGCCCGTTGGTCACCTAAAATATTAAACATAGTGAAAATTCATTATTAAGGCACCTCCGAAAATGTGTCATCACTAGTGTTAAAATATAAGAACATACCGAGTCATAATCAATTCAAGTATAAATTTATAATAAATACACAAGTTAATAAAATTTAGTAATTTAATACGTCTGAGTCTCTAACCAAAAAAAAATGTTTAAGTCATAACTAGATGTACCTTGTAGATATATGAAAATAAATTAGATTATTACATTATGTTTAGCACCAAAAAAAAAAAAAACTAACCCAAAATGTCTAACAAAATTATAACAAACACTTAACCAGGACATTTATTAAGAAGTTTGTAAAAGTTACTGGAGATATAAGAAATTTGACAAAAATAGAACAAAATCCTATACAATTTAAGGGAATAGGACTTGAGAGGGTCAAGAGGCTGTCTTTTGGGGTTTTGTCAATTCAAGACAGCTAGAGAGAGAGAGAGGTGGCGAGAATGAGATTGACAACTCAAATCTCAATCACGGGAAAGAAGAGACAACTTTGGGAACGACGTTAGGCTTTCTATGATTCCGGAACAGCTTTCGCAAAGAAGAATGGGGCTTTTATAGCAATTCTTCTTAATATTACTGGTTTTTCTTACAAATTGTCTCAATTAATTATTTTTTTGGCAAAATTGGACGATTTCATGTGGTCCTATGAATCTGGGTTGAAAAATTGCACAATAACATGTGGGTATATGCGATTTTTGCTTTCTTGCAAATCAATCCCTCTTCCTTTAGGCTTTCTTTCTTGCCCGAGCAATTCTAGCATCTAGGTGATTTTTTTGCAAGTCGGGTCATCTATTACACATGGGTCTCATCTAGTTCTTCCTTTTGGGCTCTTTTTGGCATTATTTATGTTGTCTCAGTTCTGATAACTGATTTTTAGCATATTGCTTCTATTAGAGTTTTTATTTATATTATTAACAATGCTAGGTAATATTGTAATTCTCATAATATCAGTTTACTATAAATGAGAGAGTGTAAGCCAACATAGCCTACACAACTGATTATTCTTCTCCATCTCTTTGTCTCTCTTCCTCCCTTCTTCTTTCCCTCATAAATGCTAATATCAATATCATTCAACTTAGTAGTAGAGCAAATAATCGCAAGAACAACACAGTAAAAACAAGAAAAAATTTCATTCACACCCCCCGTAGTTACGTCTAAATTCAATGACATTCCCTCTCAATTTTGAAATTTCACTGCACATTCTTCTGATTTATACTCTTAAATCATGGACACCCCTTAACAGTAACTTCTGTTTTTGACAGTAGAAAAAGTGCACGATTTGACTACCTATATTTTGAAAATGCCAAATTATCCTCTGTTATATTAATAGACTATAATGCCTTGGAAGGGTACTTAATTTTTTTGATAAGTAGGATGATGTATTTATATCTAATGAAAGTATTTTTTACACAAAATAAAATCATTCAACATGGTCAAAAAATGCATACAAACAAAACAAAATAATAAAATTTTAATTTTAACACTTTACTAAAAAATAAGGTTAATTATAGTCATTTTCTATTGATTTCAATGAACTTTTATCATTTTTAAGGCGTTGTATGATAACTTTGTTATTATCACTCATTTGGTTACATTATCGAGTTTTTGTAATTTTTATAGTTAAAAATGCTTTCTCTACAATAAAAATTACAATTGATAATGTCAATGTCAAAATTTCATCCATTTTCAACTCCTATGGTTTCATCTGTCCTCCACAACATCACCCGACAACTGTTCACGCATCACCCTTCACATATCAAATTTAAATAATATTTGAAAATTTTTAATATTAATTAAATAAATTTGGCTTTAATTTGATAAATTTAAATATTCATTTAGTGTTAATTTGATAAATTTTAATATTAATTGAATAAATTTGAATGTTGCTTTGATGAAATTGAATGTTAATTTAATATTAAATTAAAGAAATGACATTAATTTAATGAGGTTAAATGTTAAATTAATAGAATGTAATATTCTATTTAACATAATTAAATTTTAATTTGATAAAATTGAATGTCAATCTTGTGTTGATTTAATGATATTAAATAGTAATTTAGCGTTAAATTAAAAAAATATTAATTTGATTAAATTAAATAGTAAATAATGTAAATGAATGTTAATTTGATAAAATTAAATATCAATTTTGTGTTGATTTGATGAGATCGAATGTTAATTTAGTTTAAATTTAAAAAAGAGAATTAATTTGATAAAATTAAATATTAATTAATGTACCTGAAGGTTAATATAATATAACTAAAAAGGAGTGCAGTTAAATTTTCGAATCGAAGGGGGTATTGCTGAATATAGGTCTATTTATAGGGAGCATGGATAAAATTTATCATATAAAATACTAAGGCATATTTTTGTAAAATAATGTTCACCGTCAACAACGCCGTAAGTAAACAATAACTGATAGGGGGTGTAAGTAAAATTTCAAAATTGAGAGGGGTGTCATTGAATTTATACCTAACTATAAGGAGTGTGGATGAAATTTTCCCTAAACAACTAGGAGAAATTCTGTTCGCGGACGTCATCGCCAGAAAGTGACATCATCGCTGGAAAAGTGATACCAACAATTTTTTTCATCACTTTGTCGACAATTGCAACCCCAATTTGGCTCGAATTTTTGCCCTAGTAATTGTGATAATTTTTCAAAATTTTTTGAGGTCATCTGAAAGATGTTTCCTATTTTTGAAAGATTTTTTGGGAAATTAGCCCCAATTTCTTCGATCCAACTGCTCCGGGTAATCTGAGTGTTTCTGAAGCTCCCTTTTCTCACAGAAGGGTTCAACTAGACTCTAGGAGCTTGTTCGGAGTGACCCATGGCTAGTTGTGGAGTTTGGAAGATTTTTTTGGCAAATTAAATTAGTCGGTTGCATCTATTTGGCCTTCTGGTTGTTTGGCTGGCATGGGTTGATGGTCTTCGGGTATCAACACCAACTGATTTGAATTGTTTGTATGTGGTTTTGTGCTAGGTTGCTGTTTTTTTCACTTTGGGTTGTTGGAAGTGGCCGGTTTGCCTTATTTGGGCATGGGTTTGTGTCAAGTAGCAATTTTTTTTTTTTTGTCTTCTGGTTCTCGGTAGTGGTTGTTTGGTACCGAGGCACTTTGGCTTTATGTGTGGTTTGTGTTCTTGGACCTGTCTCATCCCGAATCAGCTAGGCATATGACAGGTGTTACTTTAATCCACAGAATATTATAATCGAATAATAGAGTCGCAGCGTAGCAAAGCAGAATAACCCACAGTACACAAACCACAGATTATTGTACAAACATATGCATAACTTACGAACACATTTCAACCTATTACAAACTACTATGTAGTTAAGTACATGTTACACATGAGATTTTTCTTCTATTCTATTACATACTTCGGATACATCTTCCTAAGTTATACAAAAACCTTGGCATTTTACTATGTAAAAATCTCCCAACATTCTCACAACTGAAAAGGAAAATAATGTACGGTGAGTATCAACAACTTAGTAGAGTAACTCAATTTTCAAGCAAACGATTGAAAATAGCATAGTTTAGCATGACTTGGCAAAATCCAAATGAGCACTTGATACATATATTTCAACAAAAGCATCATTTTATGAGAAACCGTAACAATTAAATAAAACTGTAAAAGAGAGTTCAGAAATCCAATTGCAATGCTACAATATTGGGCAATTCATCCTCATAGACCACTGAGGGTCCATACAAACATGCGATCCAACCTTTTGCAGGACTTGCACCCCGAGGAAGATACGTTCCTAGTCAATGTTCAGTATCCAAGTTCGAAGACAAACTGAGCCACCTAAGCATTTACTAACTCAATGAGTACCCTCTACGACCTCAAACTGGAATGTAAACCCTTTTGCCACTCAACCCATGTGCACTTATATTTCCTTCAAAAGGATCCCGGTGTTTCATTCAATACGATAAAACAAGGATCGGTGCAAAACCGCATTCAAAAAGACAAAATTCAAAAAGGCAAAACTGCGTGACGGTGAAAACGAAGCCACAAGTGGCTGTCCTGAGGATCTGTTAATAGTATGGTGTCCCCTTGGCGAAAGACCATAAATTGCCATCCTAAAAAGACAAAATTAATTAAATAGTCATTAAATATTTAACATCAACTACGAGCACTTAGAATGTACGGATTCATACGCATGGAATTGCATGTGTTATGAGAGCCAGGGATGGGGCTCAGTGTTGGCATTACATGCATGAGTTTACACTTCATGGCATGGCATAGATTAATAGCATTGTTCATGTTTATATATGTGAATTGAATGCCCAAAAAGGTTTATGAGAGCATGACATTTCAAATGCATATGGGTTGAAAGATGATCTCCAAAGGGGGAAAGAGTTTAAATCAATAGACATTAATGAACCATCATTGATGGACGTTGCACATGACATGATCAATTCGACTAGATACCCTATTGGGCATTAGCTCACCCTTGATTGGGATATATTTTAGGTACAGGACGTGCACTACAGATGCCCCGCACTTGGGCCTACTTTGAGGACGATGCCTGAATGTGGTTTTCATTTTGAGTTGTTTAGTCCCGTTTCAGTTACTTTTGCCTTGTATATTTCGTAAAACAAACCTTGTATATTACTTCGCTTAAAGGCATGTAATTGAGATTTTATGGACATATATTCTTTTGGCAATGAATGTATGTTGTATGATGACGGTAATGAGTTGATATCCAAGGT